CGGCTTGTGCTGCTGACTAGCTTCGTGTTACCGACGTGCCTTCGATCAAGAGTAGAGCTCTTCGGTTCAAGTGCCGAGACCGTAAGCTTTAATTTGGCAGCATCTCTGAGGACATTGCCGTGGCGACGCGGTCATCGCTTTCATTGCATCTCGTTACCTGCGTCGCAGAGTAATTGAGGTTAATTGTCGAGCTGTGTGTGTGTTGTGTCGTCGACGGACCAACTGTTCCTATACTGTGTGACGGAGTCGGTGGAATACTGTCAGTGTAATAAATGAAGCCATCAAGGATTAAGCAGGCGCAGGCAGCTGTGCTAGGACAAGCAGGTGAGAGTTGATTGTGTGTCACTGACACTATGTATGTACAGTGGGTCCTTGCTTTATCGGGGTCTCGGATAAACGAACGGTGTGCATCGTTCAAACGGCATAACTTTGAAAAATAATCCTTACGCTCTTTGTTAAGAGATTACTTACTCCTGATATATATATTATATAATATATACTCACACGGTGAAGATAGAGCTAGGTATATATTTCATTTGCTCTAAGTATTAGTGGTGTGTGTCTCGGTCTTGTTCCTGTGTGCCTCACTATGTAGAGCATGCAGTATGTAGATGATGTACGTAATTCCAAAGGTGGAGCTGACACACATCACATAACGTGTTCATCTCTGTGTTTACCCCTCAGATCTCACTCTGCCCTGCGTGACAGCGCGTAATCATGTGAAATTAACCGATACGTGGCAGAGGTCTGTAACTACTGCTTCTGTTTGCCTGGTATTTGCATCGGCCAGTATTGTTACATGTTGTCTGAGAACATCAGTGGGTGGTGCGTGTGTGCGTGCGTGTGTGTGCGTTCCTGTATGTGCGTGCGTGCGTGCGTGCGTGCGTGCGTGCGTGCGTGTGTGCGTGTGTGTGTGTGTGTGTTTGTGCGTGCGTATATGTGTGGGCATTCGCTTGTGTGTATGTCCGTGCGAGCGTACGTACGTGTGTGTGCAAGCGTGCGTGTGTGTGAGAGAGTATGAGAGAGAGGACATGGGGAGGGGTGTACTGAACTGCTATTGTCATGTCATTGTGTGAGTGGACGCAATTGTCACTGTTACGAACAAAGTGGTATTCTTCTATCCATTGCATGAGCCCGCCACATCGCAGTAAGTGAATGTAGGCGATAGCAAGGAGAGGAAGCGGATTGGCTGTGCGCTTTTCGCCTCAAGGGCGCCATCTATGGACCATAATCAGCTGAAACGGCTGTGCAGACCGAACTCAGAGACAATAGAACACTAATCTGTTCTAGGGTCTCTGCCGAACCCAAATTTGGGCCAGATATGGCGGCGCTTCCTCTCCTTGTTATATTTAGCTCCTAAGGCGTTAGATGAGGGCGATGCAGATCAACGGATTCTTTGGTCGTGGGATGTTTTTTTTTCGGGCTACATTGTGTTAGTGGGTGTAAACTATGTGTACTGGTTGCTCTAATTGGAGCGAGCATGACAAAATGTCACGAATTCAGCCCATGTGGTTTCTAACCTTCTACGCCGCAGCAAGACATCGTAAAGTAGCTCGGTAGATCTGCAAGGCGTATGTATCGTCATGCCTTTTCGTTTCTCTCATGTTTCTGGGCCGGATTTGTAAGGTCCGTTCTCTGATGGGGGTACTGCGCATGTGCTACTTTCCCGTGTGGTGTGTTTTGCGCGTAGAATCTCATTCACTAACATACGCATAAACTTGAAACTTCCTAGCTAAAGTTGTACTAAGGCCTTATTTTTTTTTCGTAATCTGCCGTTCGTGCTATTTTCCCGAAGACGCTTCGGCCCAATTTTGGCGTGCTAGTTATTGGCGTTCGGGACTGCGCAAAGTATATATGCAGACAATGTAGCAGCACGTTTGAACTTTACTGCAGTTTTTTGTTGAGATGGAATCATGGAAGGGATGACAATTCAGAGTATTAGCTGTACTAGTATTTTTATAACTGGCACTCACAGTCACATACCGACGTCGCAGCACGCCTTTAGGTTCTGTGCTGATCCAATTAATAGTTATCGACTCTTGTGCCTCGTCATGCATGCGCGCATTTGCGTGACCACGGTATTACGTGATATATATATATATATATATATATA